AACTTGAACCCGGGACCCTCGGAATACTGTACTGCGGCTCTAAGTCATTTTAGCTATCCGGCCACTTTCAAATCATCTCTCCTAAATAGTGAACGGTTTTGAACCGTGACATACTCCCCTGCTATATTTAAGTTCATCCTCAAATTTACTGAGTTACAGAGAAATGTTAATTAAACTCTGAGCTATATTCAGTTACGGTCCCCCGTTTGCTACCAAGTGTCATAGGGGCACTGAGAAAAATCTGCAGCCTGAATGGAACTCAAACCCGGGACCCTCAGAATACTGTACCATGGCTCTATCGACTTAGCTATCCGGCCCCTTACACATCATCTCCGTTTAATAGTGAACAGTTCTGAACCATGACATACTCCCATAATATTATATATATGTTATATTGAAATTCATCCTCCAATTTCACAGAGTTACAGAGAATTGAGCTGCGTCACGACAAAACCAACATAATGGTTTTGCCACCAGCATGGATCCAGACCAGCCTGCGCAGTCTGATCAGGATCCATGCTGTTCGCTTGCAAACCCTATAACAAGTACAGAAACTGATAGCGAACAGCATGGATACTGATCAGACTGCGCAGATGCTCAGGCTGGTCTGGATTCATGCTGGTCGCAAACCCATTATGTTGGTTTTGTCGTGACGTGGCTCAAGTGTAAATTAAACTCTGAGCAATATTCAGTCATGGTCCCCTGTTGGGGTCACAGGGTGAGAAAAATGTGCAGCCTGACCGGAACTCAAACCTAGGACCCATGGAATAGTGTACAGCATCTCTACCACCTGAGTTATCAAGCCACTTACACATCATCGCCCCTAAATAGTGAACAGTTCTTAACCGTGACTATAAAAAATCATTTTGTTGCCCCGTATTTAGCGTAGAATCGCCTTAAATTTGGCGTTTAATCATACTGTCACCTGTGCGTGGCCAATCGATGACTCTCTATCCTTTTCATTATTTTGTTCTGTTGCAGTCAAGGGGGCGAAGAAAGTGAAGTGAAGAAAGCAACAAAACAAAAAAAAATATTGTGCAGCCTGATCGGGACTCAAACCTACGACCCTCGAACATATACCACGGCTCTACCGAATGAGCTTTCCGGCCTCATATACATTTTCTCCCCTAGAAGCTATTGACATACTTTCCTGCTATATTTAAATTTATCCTCAAATTTCTCAGGTTACAAAGCAATGTGAATTTAACTCTGGGCTATATTCAGTCACAGCTTCAAATTGGGTACCAAATGTCACAGGGTGAGAAGAATGTGCAGCCCGACCGGGACTCGTACCTAGGACCCGTGGAATACCATACCACAGCTCTTAGCAACTGAGCTATCCAGGGGCTTACACATTTTCTTCCCTGAACCGTGACACAATAAATATAGTATTACATCAAGGACTTGCCTTTTTTGTAAACAAGTTAAATACCAAAAGGTATTGAGGATAGGTCTTGTTTATTATAGTGTCACCACTACTGTAATGGCCAGCCATTTCTGACTTATGAGACACCTATAAATTGCTTGCAAACCCATTATGTTGGTTTTGTCGTGACACGGCTCATATATACATGAACATATGGTTTTTTCATTGTCACTCCACCAATATCACTCATACAAGTTAATCAATTTGTAGAATTACATGCAACAAAATTAAAAATGTTTAATGCATATAAAAACTTAATAATTAATTAGTCCAGTTTGATTATATATATTATTATAATTTAGGATTATCAAAAGATTCTTAATTAAAGTCCTACCAATTGGTAATTTTGTAACACGGTGAGAAAACTGTGCAGCCTGAACAGGACTCAAACCCGGGACACTCAGAATACCTTACTACAGCTCTACTGTCTGAGCTATTAAGCTGCTTACACATCACTCCTCTAAATAGTATACAGTTCTGAACCATTATAATTACTTCCCCGCTATATTGAAGTTTGTCGGTAATACAGAGCTATGTGAATTAACTCTTAGCTATATGCAGTCAAGGCAACAAGTTGGGCGCCAATTGTAACCGAGTGAGAAAAAATTTGCAGCCTGACCGGGATTTGAACCCGGGACCCTCAAAGTACCATACCATAACTTGACTGACTGAGCTATAATGGCCACAAGCTTACACATTTTCTTCCCTTAACAGTAAACAGTTATGAAGCATGACATAATCCTACCAATTAAATACAAATACTATGTATTTAAAGCCTTCAAGAAAAGTTTTGTTATCATTATGAATAAATGCAAATAAAGTAAATGGAAATCTTATCCATTAGGGAGGTGATCTGTTGTTGAGTTGTAACATCTTGATAATTGTGATCCAAGGATCATGAGATAGCATCTCCACCTTGATAAAATTTGTCAACAAACTTACAGATGGGACCAAAGTGCTAGGACCAGGGTTGCATCTGAAACTGAGGCAAACTAGGCAACTACTGTATATCAAAGTTCCCTGGATTCATGCTATATCTCACTCTAAAAAATACACTCGTGAGCAGTTAAACGATATTTAATGAGGTAGTTTTATAAAGGGGACGTAACTTTGTCAATAATCAATTATTCTGAAATTAAACAAATTGGCTCATTTGTACATATATTTTTACCGTTGCCCATTTATCATCATAATCACAACTGTGTTTTGTCTTAAACTTAACCTGTTGGATGCGAATGTGTGTATTCAATGTTCTCAAATGGAAAAATGACACATCAATGATTGTCTATTTACATCCCTGGCAAAATATAAAAATCACACATAGCTATTATCAATATTTTAAATCACAACTGTCTTGAACACGAAGTGAAAACACGATAAATATAACACATTCTAAAATTAGAACTAAAACTTTAAAAAAAATATTTATCAGAACATAATAATAATTATAATTATTCATAACGAAGGTTGTCATAATTATTTAAAAATCGCTGCAATACATGCTTTTTAAAACACTCTCGTGTGTTAGAAAATTAATTAGTTCTCACAAAAATTATACTATTAGATGCGGAATTCATTTGTAAATAAAATGGTGTATGATTTAACTATTTTGGAGTAAATCTAAGACCGTACGTGTGATTCTAACGGCACTACCCCTAACAGTGTGATTATTACGCCGCCGCGTAATAATCACACGCGTGGTAATATTAAAGCTGTAGCGTAATAATCACACTGGTGGAAATATTTCTCATAATCACTAACACAATGATTATTATAATTACTAAGAGGGTCATCATAACTATGTGGAGCTGCATGGCGACAACCAATATCATCATTGCCATTCAATGTGGTCAGTACCAGTACTATCGTCATTGAAAAATATTTTCTTTGTAATAAAAAAACTTTAAAAACAAAACAATGATTATTCATTACGATTGGTCGTCTTGTTGTCATAAAAAAGAAATCCATAAAATGCCGTATTATTGAAAAAGAAATTATATTGCGGAAAACCTTTTGGAAAAAAATGTATTACCAGTATGTCTGATTAAGTATATGACCGTACGTGTGAACCACACACCACTAGAGCGAAATTCATCACCAACACAATGAATAGCTTTTGTTACTAAGAGGGTTATCGTTATTTAGTAGCATTGAAGCAACAATACCCTTATTATATAGCTTACATGTTTTCCCCTTCATTTCGGACTATTTAGCCAGCATCAACCTGCACCAATTTATCTTTACCTTAAAAGATTAGAAGATGTGTTATCAAATTCTTAAGGTACACTGATGAATAATAATAGCTAGTTTAACATATACTGAATTTAACTTACTTTTTTATCATATTATATTATGTAATTAGCGCGAATCCTTAATTGTGCCTTTTTTAACATTTCACGTGAAAACTGTTGTAATTGAGAAAATTTCATTTCATTATATGAAATACGAAAGCAATCTTTTATATTTTTCATAATTAAACTACTGAAATAGTGTGATGTCTTATTTGTTGAAAACTTCTATAATGATATATATGTAATGCATATTTCTGAAATAATTGACAATTTTTTCGCAAACATATCCCTGACATATTTCTGAGTTACATTGCTATTCTATTCTTTATTCCACTCAGATCATGCGAACATAACAACATGAGGTAATAATACATTTGCAATAAACATAATAAACGAGGCTAAGAACCATATATAAATATCACACAATATATTAAATATAGCGGGAAAGTTCATAATCAACAAATATAACCTCGAAGTTATACAGATCAACACTTTTTTCAGGTTCATGAGTCAATTGACAGCATATACACTTGTACATTCTTTGGTGTATCAAAACGGAACGTGGTTTTTATATAAGTTTAATATTATGGAAATGTCATGCCAATTAAAAAAGAATTCACACCTTCATGGACCTCTGCTTTCCGTATACTTAACCCTTTTTCACACCATTACTATAACTAGATCTTTGCCATTTCGAGTCTTCCTTTTATTTATTTATTTATTTATTTATTTATTTATTTATTTATTTATTTATTTATTTATTCTTTTCATTTAATTTTGGATTTTACTATTATTTTGAATTGCATGCAAACACACAAAGCGCAACAAATAAGACTTAATTTATATATTTAAGCTAAAAAGGGGGACTAATATAAAAAAAAAAACGGAGGGAAATCCATGAAACAGACTTTTTTAACTATTTTAAAAGAGAGAAACCTAAACTGAAAAATATTTTTCAATTGTATCAGGCATTATTTATATTAATGTCTGTATCGAAAGATTGCACGCTGATATTTAGGAAAGAACATTTTCTGTCTTAAGTTTACACTTTAAGATACCCCTATGCGGTGGAAAATCATAGCTTTTTAATAAAATTTACACCATTAGACGCGGAAATCATTTAGGAAAAAAATGATATATAATTGAAGAATATTAAGTGTAAATATAATACCGTCCGTGTGATTATCACGGCACTACCCCAAACCGTGTGATAATTACGACCCTGCGTAATAATCACACGCGTGGTAATATTACCACGCGTGTGATAATTACGCGACACCGGGAACAACACAACCAGGCTGCCGGTGATAACTTTTCTACAAATGACGTACATTATACATTTGACTTCAGTCAGTATGTTAAGTTACCACACCATGCACAAGAAAAGGGACCCACATTTTTCATTCAGCCGAGAAAAGTGCAGATAGGAGTTTCAATCTAACTATGCTAATTATTTATTTTTCATGTATGCATTGTAAACTTTTTTGTTTCTTTTACAATTACTATAAACGTGAAAATTACCTGTTAGTACCATAGTTAATATAAATTTTCTTTCCGTTTTCAAAATCTATACTTTGAATAATTTTTCTATGCAGTAAATGTGTACATGCTGTATCTTTCAGATATTTGGTTTCCGAGCCGATGGCTACAAACAGTACAACTATCTCATAGATGAGGACCAAACAATTGGTAATTAAAACAGTTTTTCGGCATTTCTGTAAAATTATTATAGAAAATTAAATAAAAAATTACTAAATAAATTATTATCCAGTATGTGCATGATAAGCATACTTTAAAGTTGTTTTTTTTGTAACTGCAATGCATGCAGTATTTTTTTTCAGTAACATTTCAAGTAAAACAGGATTGAATCTCATCGTGTCTTCTAAATTACAGCAAATTAGTTCAAATATCAAGTTTATGTAATTTTTGTTTTTGTTTTAGGACAAGATGGCACACTTGTACATGGACAAGACTCGGTCATCTCAATGCTAGACCATGCCTTCAACTCGTTCGGTACTGGAGAAAGTGATTGTGGGATTCACGCAGATAATTGTTTTGGTAGTTATTTTTCACATCTCAAGTATTCTTATTAGTTGTAACTGCCTCAGTTTGAACTGTGCCATAAAAATGCCGGTGTAAAATAGTTCCTTAAAACTAAACTTGTTTACTGTTTAGTATTCTTTTTTTTTTTCTAAAATGTACATGCATTGAGATTTAATAAGAAGTAGTAATGCTTGAAAAATAATAGAGTTACTACGGGATATAACAATAACAAAATGTAACTTTAGAGCTTTGCTTTTTTTAATTTAGCTTTATTTGATTTTCTCAATTCTTTAACATTATTGTATGTAATTAAATACATGAATTTAAATCTTTTCCACAGGTCAGAATAAGAATAGATACGTACTAGCCTACTTGTCATGGCGTACGATGATTGGATCACATAGAAATATCAAATACATGATGCAGTTACCAGGACATACAAGGTAGCTTTGAATCTTTAATTGTTCTATAAACGGTTAACAAGCAATTTCGTTAATTATTTTAGAAAAGATATTATTTTTCGCCGAAAAAACATATACTATATTAAGCCTAAATGAGACGAGAACTTGATTTTAAAACATGTTTTCTTAATCTCTAATAATATGAAAAAGAAGGAAATGTAAAGCACGAGTTCAGACTGTAAAATCATGTATATAATATAGAATTGACCGGAAAAGGTTTAATTACCGTAAAATATTTCCTCGTCATAAGCTAATTGATGGTGTCAGTAAAACATGCGAATGAATGACAAATACACTGCTGATCAAATCTTTATCCTTATTAATAATGGTAAAATTCTCAGGAATTTGAGCTTTACCTCACCAATCATATTTGTTTCGCATTTAACTTTATATATTCAGGTGCTTGATCGACGCGGGATTTGGAACGATAAAGAAGTTGTATCGGCGTTCAAATTGTGATACTCTCCAACACGTGACGGAAGTAGTACTGAAGTCAGCACACAGTAATGTTCCCGTTACTTATGGTGAATGGATGTGGAAAGGCTGGAAGGTGTTCCTCGCAGACAGATTCAAAAAAGTGCCGAACATCTCAAAATATCACCACTTCCGTTTCACGTCACTCGAACCCGGTATAGTTTACATGAAGGTAGCTGCAGATGATACTAATGAAATACGATTTGTAATTTGTAAGACGAACTATCTACAAATGGATAGAAATGACCTTCCATCTGTCATACATCCTGCAGGATTAAGCCGGGAACGTCAGACGTACTTGTACCGTCATGTCAGACCACTTGTGAGACGCCTATTCCAAGATGTTCTTTGCCCAGTTCCCCCGTCAAGCGATGGGCAGTGATTAGTTATACAAATTTCTATACACTAGTTCCTAAAGTATCAAGTGTCAAGGATATATTTAAGCTGGTGTATCTCATGATAAACTTACTATTCTGTGTACAGTGGTGGTTTTGAGTATTTACTGTTGTGCTTCTACGATCACAGCGTTTTCGTAGTAACTGATATTTGTGACCTATTATCATTAAAGTAACATTTTAATGTTATTTTTAGATAATGTTTTATTTAATAATTACAGAAATAGATAATTTTGGATGAGTGTACGTAATCTTTTTACTAAATTTATTGAACGAGTTGAATAAAATCATATTTAAGTGAACCTTATAGCAAAATATTGTTTTATTCAACGACTTCAATAAATTTTAGTATTGAATCTACACGAAAAATAATATATTTTTTTATTTAATAAATAATGATATTTTATTTATTGCATATATAATATAAAAACTATTAACTGTTGAAATATCATTTGTCATTTTTCATTGACGCGCCTATAGTGTACGCTTACATTAGCGCGCTTTTACGCTATGTTTATATTATAGCGCAAATGACGTCACGTCAAAAATGTTATAACACTAGTTTAATATCGTTTTTTATTTATAAAATAGCTTATTTATACTCCTGTGCCGCGGTTTATGTGATAAATTCAATTATATTTACGCCACACTGTCTCTTTACGTAAGTAAATAAATACATTTTCGACGTTTTGAAATGATGTTATCAACGTTGACGTTAGTGGCGTTACTTGACGTCGGCTTTTTCAAAGCCGTTACGTTTAAGCTTTTTCGTGCAAATGTGAGTCGAATAAAGTATAGAAAGTTATACATTACAAGAAAATTTAAAAAATGCACTAACGCATGATGGAAAAAGCCGAAAATATCCAAAAATTACTATAACGGCTGTTTATGCTTGGCGCGGCTCACTATTATTTTCTTGGAAATTATTTTATTACCAGTAATTTATCTTTAGTCCTCATATTATCTGACATCACATTACTTTTGAAGTATATCAAATTTATTGACAGACGTTGTAAAAGTGTACCTTAAATGTTTATAAACCAAAAAAAGCAACTAAAGTGTATAAGTGCAGTTGCACTTGCGCACCTGCATTTTTGCTGGATGCCAATTAACTTTTAGTATCGTAGGGTTACTTCCTGTATATGGTTTCTAGGAGTCAAGTTGCTATGCTGATTTTGCATGTATCGACAAACACTTATCAAACTGACATATGGTAATACTCAAACATTCTATACAAGTTATGTATTAAGATGCTTTATAACTCAAAAGCTAATATAATGTATTGAAAATATATACTTCACTGTTTTTGTTTGTAACGTAGTTCTTGAATAATTGGTAACTAGAGGCACAACCAATTGGAAATGCTATTAAGTGTTTTGTGTTTTTAAATATAAAGTCACGATTACGATAAACAACATAATTATTTAAATAGTTTACAAAAATAGTTACAATTTCGAGTCCAACTATGTTATAAAGTGTCACAAAACGAACAGTTATTACCAAATACTTTATTATCAATAAGATTTTAAAAGTGTTTGTCGATAACTTATCAAACAATTTAATAATCGAATATTGTAAAAAAATGCTTAAACCTTGAAGAATCTCTACTTCTTTATAGACAACAAAACCGACTAGACTGAGTAAATAACAGAGGAAAGTAAAATTTTGTTTACAATACATTGTACAAAAGGCGCCGAAAATGTCGAAAAAAGATGAAAAATGGCAAATTAGCAGCTGGTGTTTTACCCTTTGGGAATCAATACAAGGAAATATCACAGAGTATTGAGATTGTAAAGTCAGCAAAATAAGAGTAACTGTTCATTCACTAACTGGGATAAGCAGTCTTATGCCAACTTTAGGATCTTATGTGACCAACAGAGTACGAAGAATGGATAAAGACTAACATTCATATGTAAAAGAATTTTATATAACATTATTCGGTTGCTCTAAGCAGTGCAGCAGCCATGTACGATTTGCATGTACGATTGGCAACTTATGCATATATTACTAAATACAAAGCACTGTAGAACAGAAAAGAATGTAAAATAGAATAGAACAGAATATTAGTTACACGTATTATTTATAAAACTTTAATGTTACTGTTAATACAAAACGTGCCATCAACAGTCATATACATGAAGCTGTAAATATTTTACCAAACGGTACACATTTGTGCGTTCTTCTATTAAGTTAATGCGTGGTTTGTCATTGTAAAAGAAAAAGGGATAAATGCATATTAATCTACATGTTATTCAACCTCGTAATTCGTGTTACACTATGATTTACGGGTGTATTAAATGGCTTGACAATATTGCCCGAATCGAGGGAATTAAAGTACTTTATGTTTTCTTTCAGTTTCATGTACAGACTCAATCAAACCGAGCCTGCAATTTTCAAGTAATTTTGTTGTGATT